TTAAAAGTATACATTAGAATGATAGAAAAATAATATCAAGTAGTGGTGGAAATAGCAAACAGCTAGAATATTCATGTATTACTAGATATAAATGTATACAGAATACTGATAAAATTGATAAAATTGCTACAGAAAACAGTTCTGTATCAGATTCTTTTTTTTTTTTTTTTTTTTGGGGGGGGGTCCGGTTGTGGGGCCTGAACTCTGGGCCTGAGCACTGTCCCTCAGCTCTTCAGCTCAAGGCTAGCGCTCTACCACTTGAGCCTCAGCGCCACTTCCGGCTTTTTTCTTTTTGCTTATGTGGTGCTGAGGAATCAAACCCAGGGCCTCATGCATGCAAGGCAAGTGCTCTACCACTGAGCCAACTTCCCAGCCCCCTGTATCAGATTCTTAAAACTAACCACATCCTACCCATGACCAGCAATTCTACTCCTAAGAATTTGTCATGGAAAAATTAAAGTGTAGGCTCATATACAAACTGCTCATGAATACTAATTGCTGCTTTATTCATATTCACCCCAAATCAGAAACAATACCTTCAAGAGGTAAATGAATGGATCAACAAACATACAATGCAATGAAAAGAAAAAAATGGAGCCCAGTGACAGACCACTTGCATGGGGCCTTCCATTTGACACCTAGCACCTTGGGGAGGTCAGGGAAGAACAAACTATTGATTCATGTAACAACTTAGATGAGCCTCAAAGGCAAGCATTGTATTGTGTGAAAGAGGCTAGTTTCAAGAGTGTATGTGTCCTCTTATTCATCCAGAAGATAAAATCTGGTAAGGAAAACAGATCAGATGGTAGGTAGCAATTGGGAGTAAAGTGATGGTACAACCACCAAGAAACTATTCTGTATCTTGACTGTGTGGTGATTACACAAGTCCATCTTAGGACAGTTTTATTGTATGATAATTATAAAGTGAAATTTAAACAAAAGCACCTAAAATGTCCTCTCAGGAAGTGTTATGATAATTAGTTGATAGATCATGAACTATTTCACAAAATGTAAGCCAAAATGCAGTGAAACCAGCTCAGTTTGCTCTTGAAAGCCAAAGACACCTTATAACTAGTTTTTAAAAACTATAGGTAATCTGTCTGGAGTATTCCCCTGGAAGACAGATGGCACCTTGACAGACAGATTAACTTCCAAGAACCACAAATGGAGGTTTTTTCCTTTAGTACCTGGCAGTTTGTGCTTTTGCTTGGTAAGACTATAGCATGCCCTTCTTAAATCCCAGCATCAGATTCTTGAAGTGTTAAACCTCTACCTATGAGGCAGACTCTATTCTCTTTTAGCAATGTACTGACAGGAAAGTGAAAAGGACTTGTAATTTGCTTTGAGTCTAATGGCCTTCACCTATAGATCAGAGTTCTCCTTAGGGTTTCTCTTATATCTAGAACCAATCTTTCTGGCCTATATGGGCCATATAACTCACCTAAATTCTATAGTGGTGTTACATTATCATGCCTTTGCTCATGCTGTCCCTTCTGCTTAGGAGACACTGCCTTGTTTCACCAGTCTGGCAAATACCCAGCCCTCTCTTATGATGCACTGCTATTTGGGACATAATCTAATAAGTAGGCATAGCTTCTGTACTCCATAGTATTACTATGACTGGTGCCTCTAACACTTGTTTTTACTAAATTATGTGTGTAGCTATTAAATTGCTTCATAGGACAGATCATCTTCCCTTCCCATATCTCAGTACCAACCACAAAGCAAACACCAGTGAATACCAGTTGAATGACTATGTGTAGTCATATGCACAGTCATGTATAGTTTCTCAGCCTTCAAGTAAAAGCACACAGTTATAAGAATTTCAGATGATAAACTGGTAGGCCAGCCCAGAGATGACCTACCAGTGGCCAAAATTCAGTTATCAGCCCACTAGGTTCTTAGTTCTGAGGTCCTGGTGAAAGAGAGACCAGTTAGCACACTTCAAGGAAAACCATGTGTTTCCTGAGGGTGAAAATGTAGTTCCTAAAAAGACCACTGTGTTAGTCATATGTTTTCACTGCATGTGCCTGAGAGAAACAACTTAGAAGAGGAAAGATTTATTTTATTGTGGTTTCTGAGGTTTCACACATGGTAAACAGGCCATCTCAGAGCTTTGGAGTTTATGTCATGGCAGCCAGGAAATAGAGTGCCCTCATTAGCAGGCACTTTCTCTATTTTCATGATTTTCTCTAGGTCCTCAGCCTGTGGAGTGGCACTGCCTACACCCAGAAGTATATTTACTGATCTCATAGGTGCTTCTCAAGCCAATCAAATTGGTAATTAAATTTAACCATTAAAACTATTTCTCTGAAGTGGCGCTGTGGCTCAAATACGCGTTGCTTGAGGATCAATCGCCCCCCCCCCCCCCCCGGGGGTTGCCTTGCCCCGCGGGGTGGCGCGGCTGGGGGTGTCCCCTCGCAGGGCCCCCTTTCCGGGGCCCTCCATCCCCCTAAGTTCAGACTTTGGCGGTCGTCGCTTCACGGTCCCGTCTGGCTTAAGTCCTGGAATCTATTCGCATTCATCACTAAGGTCACAAATTGTGAGGTGATGGAATCAGCATTTAGGACACTGTGCAACTGATCGGAGAGTTGGAGCCAGTAAGCTAAGTCAAACAGATTGCCTTTGTTTTAAATACTCTTTTGCCAGGCAAATTCCAGTCTGCCTTAGTTGTCAGTGTAATTTTGCTTAAGTGAGCAGCATTACTCTCCACTTCCTAGATCTGGCCTTCATCACAGTTTAAATAGCAGGTTTTGATAAAAATCGGTTTCCAAAATGTAATTCTTGTAACCTGAGTCCTTGGAATGGGTCAAATGCCCTTTTTGGGTTGGGGGTGGTATCTTGTTGTTACAAGGCTAAATGGAGAAGTGAGAGAAAGGGGCCTTTAGTAACCATAGGTTTTAACCTGTATTAACCAAATTAAAGTAGACTGGTTGCTAATATGGGGTGGTATATATGTAGTAGTAAGAACATGTCTAGTTACTTCTTTCCACAGATTTTGTTGGGACTTTCGTATTTCCTTTAAATATTAGGACTCTCTTCAAGGCCTAATGATTAAGACCATTATTGTGTCTTGCATCTGTTTCATGAGGTTTCTCTGGTTTCCTGCCTTGGACTCAGATCCAGACATTCCCTGGAGGTTTCTGGCACCTCTTGGGAAGGACCCCACCTAGCACTAACACACCTTAGGTGTCTTTTAGTGACATAATTCTTGTTTAGTAATTGCTTGGTACTCAGGACAATTCGAAGCAAGGAAAAAAACTGTTCTAGCCTAAATCTATCCTCTCCCTTAATGAACTTATATGTTAATAGCGAGTCCTTGACTCTGGGGATCGTGATGACTAATTTATATCCTAGCACTGAGCCTGAATAGAGTATGGATGTTCTGCTGGAATGTAGGGTTTTGTTGTTGTTGTTTTAAGCCAGTCATGGATATTGGGCCTACTGGACTGGATAGGCCTGAGGACTATCCCTGAACTTTTCTGCTCAAGGCTAGCACTCTACCACTTTGAGCTACAGCTTCACTTCCGGTTTTCTGGTGGTTAATTGGAGATAAAAGTTTCAAGGACTTTCTTACCCTGACTGACAGCTGGAGGCTGGCGTCAAACCATTATCCTCATATTTCAGCCTCCTGAGTAGCTAGGATTATAGGCATGAGCCACCAGCATCTGGCTTAGAATGTAGATTTTTTTACTGAGGCTTTTTTCTGTTTTGTTTTGTTTTGGCAGAGAGGAAGTGTTAGTGATCAGGCTTAGGGCCTCATACTTGGCTGGAGCTCTACCACTTTGCTATATGCTTAGGCCTATCAGCAACTTGTATTCACAATTTTTTAATAAATATTTCTTGTTTAGCTAGCAGTTTAATTGAAAATATTCTTCTATTTAGTTTATTTTTTGACAGTACTTGTGTTTGAACTCAGGGCTTAGGCTTGCTAGCCAGGCATTCTACCACATCACTCTCAGTTTTCTATTTGTTAAGATGGGTTTTCATGAACTATTTGCCTGGGCCTGGAGCCTTCTTATCTCACCCTCCCAAGTCAGCAGTCTTACACATACAAGCTACTATCCCTGTCTAATTAGGTTGTTTAAACTTGTTAATTGCATCTGTCATTTATGTACACTGTATATTGGCTAGGCACTTCCCTAAATAGTAATCTTTACCACCTTTTTATGAGGTAACATATATGGCTGTGACTGAGGGAGAGAAGGGAGGAGGAGTCAAAATTCATTCTTGGGTTTCTAATTTGGATCCTAGTAGTACAAGTGATGATGAAACTGAGGGAAAGTCCTCCCTTCCTTTCTTTCTTCTTCCCTCCCTCCCTTTCTTTCTTCCTTCTTTTTTTTCCTTCTCTCCCTCCCTTCCTTCCTCCTGTCCATTCATCTGTCTCCTTCCTTCCTTTCTCTCTACCCCTTCTTTCTCTCATACCAATCCTGGCGCTTAAACTCAAGACCTTGCACTTTTGCTTTTTGTTTGTTTGTTGATCAAGAATGATGCGGTCCTCTACCACACTTTCCCTGCTGGATTTTTGCTGGCTAAATGTAGATAAGAATCTCATAGATTTGTCTTTCCTGCTGGTTCTAAATCATGATCTTCAGATCTCAGCTCCCTGAATAGGTAGGATTATAGGCATGAGCTACCAGGGCCCAAACCTGGTGGTGTGTGGTGATCGTCGCCTTCTTCTCCTCCTCCTCCTCCTCCTCCTCCTCCTCCTCCTCCTCCTCCTCCTCCTCCCTTCCCCCTCTTCCTCCCCGCCCCCCTTCTTCTCCCCCTCCTCTCCCTCTTCCTCCCCCTTCCCCTGCTCCCCCCTCCCCCCTCCTCCTTCCTCCTCTTTTTCTTCTCTGGGTTTGTAATAAATTTAGGTAATCTCACCCTGGGATAGAAGTTCCAAAGATAGCCCGTGGATTAGCCTAAAGTTGGTATAGTTTTCACCATTGGGTTTCCTGTTTTAGACATTGTGGACTTAAAACCATTATTTCCACTGTTCTCTAACTTGAATTTATTCAGTTTCTGTTCCAGATGATCGGGCTGAACAACGAACCTGTCTTATTTGTGGGGACCGTGCTACAGGCTTGCACTATGGGATCATCTCCTGTGAGGGCTGCAAAGGGTTTTTCAAGCGGAGCATTTGCAACAAACGGGTGTACCGATGCAGTCGTGACAAGAACTGTGTCATGTCTCGGAAGCAGAGGAACAGATGCCAGTACTGTCGCCTCCTCAAATGCCTCCAGATGGGCATGAACCGGAAAGGTGAGTAGTGCTCCAAGATCTCAGGTGAGCTTAGCACCCAGCTAAGAAGGATCTTTTAAAATGTACCCATTATGAAGAAATAGACATGTGCAGAGACATTTAGATAAATGTAGGTGTTCATTTCATTTATTTTTTTGGTCAGTTATGGGGTTTGAACACAAGACGTGGCCATTGTCCTTGAGCTTTTGTGCTCAAGGCTAGCACTCTACCATAGCTCCACTTCCGGCTTTTTGTGGTTCATTGGAAATAAGAGTTTCTCAGAATCCTGCCCAGGCTGGCTTTAAACTGAGATCCATAGATATCAGCCTCCTGAGTACCTAAGATTATGGTCATGAGCCACCAGTTCCAAGCTGATAGTTTACAATTTTTTATTGTTATACATAAGTAACACAGAGGAGGGTTTCATTGTGGTATTTCTACTCATATATACAGTATACATCACTCAATCTCACCCCTCTATCACTCTCCCCTTTCTTACTCCCCTTCCTGCTCATCTTTCTAACATCCCTTTTTACTGAACAGTCTCAAGGATGCCTTATACCATGCTTTATGTACTCAGGTTCTTCTACCTGGAAATCTTTTTTCTCCCCCACAATCCCTTTCCTTTTACAGAACTTTTTCCCAGCCACTAATACCAACTAGTACTAGCTTCAAAAAAGAGTCAGTAGTGATCTTCCTCTCACCCAGATTTAATTTTGTCATCTTCCTTTCTTGCCCTCACTGTCAGTATTTTATCAAAGCATAGTTGTAAGATGTTCTCTTGACTCTTCACTCCAATGAATCATCTTGGTTATTCAGTTGGACCCTGAGATTCTGAGCTTGCAGCCAGACTCTCACCTGTTTTAGAGAAGAACTTTAACCTTATAACGTCTTTAGACATTGCCTGGAGAAAATGACCCATGAAATGTGAGGAATGTGGATCCTCTGCATTCGGAACAGGTAGGCTTGGTTGCCTTGTGAAGGCAACCTCTGACAGAGAAACCCTGCCACCTTCTGGTGGCTGCTGAGAAAGCCAGACTAATTTGAATTACCATGGAAATATTTGTGCAGTAAGAAACATTTTGTTTGAAACTCTGGTGGTTTGATATGTAATTTTTTTGCATAATTATATGCATTCATCAAAACCCATAGAACTACATACCATAGAATTGAAATTTACTAAGTGTAATTTTTTTTAATTTTATTTTTTTAGTCAACCAAGATGTGGTGGGGTTAGGGGCAGGGGATGCAAGGGATAGAGTGTACATTGTGACAGTGAATTGATCTAACTGATAAGAAAAGGAACCACAACTGAGGGAAATAGAGAGGAACTGAGCGCACCTTGGAAAACAGTACTAAAGTTAAGCACAAAAAGAATTGTATATAAATAAAGTCTAGTTTGTAAAATTTGTTTCTGTCAAGATTATATGTTAGGAATTCTGTCCTTACTTTAATTGCATGCTGTGATTGAACTAGCAAGTAAATTTATTGTAGATAATGATAGTCAGGTTTTGCATATCAGAGAAAGTTGTAAGTCAGAAAGGAAGAAAGCTAGGAGAGAACTTCAGTAGATAGGAATCAGTGATGTCAGTATTGGACCTGGATGTCAGTGGTTCACACCTAAAATCTTACCTACTCGGGAGGCTGAAATCTGAGCATTGCAATTCAAAGCTAGTCCTGTCAGAAAAATTTGTGAGATTTAAAAGCCAGATGGAGGTATGGCTCAAGGATAGAGAACTCTAGCTTTTGAGTGAAAAAGCTAAGGGACAGCTCCCAGACCCCAAGTTCGTATACTAGGTACCTAGTACTAGGACACACACACACACACACACACACACACACACACACACAAACACACACACACACACACACACACACACACACACACACTGGACCTGGGTTTAGTTAGGTAGGAAGATAGGTATTGGGTAAGTGGGAGGGAGCTAGGTACATGTTTAGTACATATACATGTATTTCCAAGCTCTAGACACTGTGAGAGGAGTGAGGACTCTAGGGAGAATTGATTGATTCCAAGGCTAAAGCAGGGAAAATATACAATGCACACAGTAGGCCTGGCCCACACCTGTAATCTTAGCTTCTCAAAAGACTGAAATCTGAGAATCACAGTTCAAAGCCACTTTCGACAAGAAAATCTGTGAAACTCATATCTCCAATTAACCACCAATAGCCAGAACTAGAACTGTGGCTCAAATATTAGAACATAGCCTTGCAGGAAAGAGCTCAAGGACAGTGCCCAGGCTCTGAGTTCAAGCCCCAGTTCTGGCAGCACCCCCACCCAAATGCATGTAATATTTTGTGCCAAAAAATTATGACATACTGGGACTGGGAAGGTGGCTCAGTGGTAGAGCACTTGCTTTGCATGCCTGAGGCCCTGGGTTCGATTCCTCAGTACCACATAAGCAAAAAGAAAAAAGCCGGAAGTGGCGCTGTGGCTCAAGTGGTAGAGTACTAGCCTTGAGCTGAAGAGCTGAGAACAGCGCCCAGGCCAAGAGTTCAGGCCCCACAACCAGACCCCCAAAAAAATATATATATTTAAAATTTAAAAAAAAAGTTAAAAAAATTACAACATACTTATTTTAAGGAGAAAAGATTTACTTTGGCTCACAGTTTCAGAAGTTTCAGTCAAGATCAGCTGGGTCTATTCTTTTGGGCCTGAGATGAGGCAGAATATTATGGCAGTAGTACATTTCTTTTTGGACAATGCCCCTGCCCCCCTTCCTTCATGCTCTCCCAGTTTTTCCCTTCTGTCCCCACCCAGAAGTTGTGCAGTTTCTTTTAACATAGTGACTACTCAGTACCATTGCTGCATTTGTCTGCCCTTTGTCCCTCCATTTCTATGTCCTCCCTTGCCACCTCTAAGACTCATAAATGAACACACAGGACAACATGGAGGAAGACCCTCTTGGAATTCATTTCAATAAATATTATTTTACATGATCAGAGGCACAAAGGCCTTGCACCTTTCTGTTACTCCCCGAAGAGTATTCTCCTTTGCTCTCACTGTATGCGAATACCTGGAGTCCCATATAATGTATCATGCCCTGGTCTACTTAAATCTAGCTCCCAAATATGAAAGAAATGAAAAACATGTACTATTGGTCTTTCTGAGCTTGACTTATCTCATTTAACATGATTTGTTCTAGGTCCATCCATTTCCCTGCAAATGACATAATATTCTAACAGCTGTGTGTATTTTTTTTTATCAACTCATCTATTGTGGAGCATCAAGGCTGTTTTCATAACTTGGTCATTGTGAATAGTGCAGCAGTATATGAATGTGCAAGTGTCTTTATAGTATCCTGGTTTGTGATGCTGGGTAGATGCCCAGGAGTGGTATAGATGCGTCATAGGGAAGTAGATCTATGTTTAGTTTTTTGAGGAGCCTCCAGATTGCTGTCCAGAGTGATTGTACTAGTTTACATTCCTACCAACAATGTAGTAGGGTTCCTTTTTCCTCTCATCCCCACCAGCATTTCTTGTTCAAATTCACTCTGTTGGACAATCTAACTATAGGGGTGAGATAGAATCTCAGAGTTTGATTTACAATTCCTTTATGGCCAGGGATCTTAAGCATTTCCTCATATGTTTCTTTGCCATTCTTACCCCCTCTTCTGAGAAGTCTCTCCTTGTCTCCTTTGTCCATTTAGTGATTGCTTTATTAGGTTTGGGAGGGGTTCGTTTCTTGATCTCCTTGTATATGTTGGATATTAGGCTTTTGTTGGATATATTGCTGGTAAAGATCTCCCATTCTCTTGGCTGTCTTCCTAGTTTGTAACTATGCCCTCTGCTGTGTAGAGACTTTATTTTGGTCCCGTTTCTCAAGTCTATTTCCTGTCTATTGTGTCCCTGGGCCTGCTTACAAAAGTTTCTGAGTATGCCTGTATGTTACAGTGTTTCTTATACACTCTCTTTTTAAGTTTCTGGTCTGATGATGAGGTCTTTGATCCACTTTGAGTCGACAGTGCATGATGGAAAACAAATACACTTGTAGTTTATGTGTATGCCCACATAAACGATCTTTTTTCTACCATATCTTTGGCTTACTTATCAAATATCAGATAACTGTAAGTATATAGCTTTATTTCTGGGTCTTCTAGACTGTTCCATTCATCTATTTGATATATTTGGTTCCATTGGTCTATTTTTGTACTATGCTGTTTTTGTTATTACTGCTTTTGAGTTCTAGGATTGTGATACCACAAGCATTGCTTCTTTTGCCTAGAATTGCTTTGGCTATTCTAGGTCTTTTGTTGTTCCATATGAATTTTTGGGTTGTTTTCTCTATCTCAGTAAAGAATAATATTGGGATTTTGTAGGGGATTGCATAAAATTTGTAGATCACCTTGGGCAGTATGGCTATATTCACATCAATTCTACCTATCTATGAACATTAAGAGATCTTTCTCTTGGGGGTGGGGTTAGTCATGGGGCTTGAACTCTGGGCCCAGGTGCTGTCCCTCAGCTCTTCATTTTAAGGATAGCGCTCTACCATGTGAGCCACAGTACCACTTCCGGTTGTCTGGTAGTTTAGTGGATATAAGAGTCTCATGGACTTTCCTGCCTAGGCTGGCTTTGAACCTCTATCCTCAGATCTCAGCCTCCTGAATAGCTAGGATTACAGGCGTGAGCCACCAGCGCCAGTGAGAGATCTTTCTGTTTCTTGATGTCATCTTTGATTTTTTTTCTTCAGATTTTTATAGTTTTTGCTATATAAAGGTCTTTTGTTCAAATATTTTAATTTTTTTTTTTTTTTTGAGGCTATTGCAAATGGAGTTGTTTTCCTGATTTCCCTCTCTGCTGGTATGTTTTTGTATACAGAAAGGCTAATGATTTTTTTTTTTGGCTGGGAGTTGGGGGGTCCGGTCGTGGGGCCTGAACTCTGGGCCTGGGCGCTGTCTCTCAGCTCTTCAGCTCAAAGATAGCGCTCTACCACTTGAGCCACAGCGCCACTTCCAGCTTTTTTTTTTTGCTTATGTGGTGCTGAGGAATCGAACCCAGGGCCTCATGAATGCAAGGCAAGTGCTCTACCATTGAGCCACCTTCCCAGCCCAGGCTAATGATTTTTATAGGTTAATTTTGTATCCTGTTATTGATCAGCTCTGGAAGCTTGGGGATGGAGTCTTTTGGGTCCTTCAGATATAAGATCATGTCATCTGCAACTAGGGACGGTTTGACTTCTTTTTTCCCTATGTGAATACCTTTTATATCTTTTTCTTGCCTTAGTGCTCTAGCTAGGAATTATAGAACTGTATTGAATAGGAATGGAGAAAGTGGACATACTTGCCTTATTCCTGATTTTATAGGAAATGGTTTTGGTTTTTCACCATTTAATATGATGTTGGCTATTCCATAATAGAGATAGCCTTTATTGTTTTTAAGTATGTTCTTTTCTATTGCTCTAGAGCTTTTTTTTTTTGATTTTGTCAAAGGAATTTTCTGCATGAGATGATCAGATGATTGTATGGCTCTTGTCTTTGGTTCTGTTAAAGTGATATGTTATGTTTATTGATTTACATACGGTAAACCAGCCTTGCATTTCTGGGATAAAACCCATGTGATCATAATGTGTGACTTTATTGGTTGCTGAGATTTGTTGGCTAGTATTTTATTGAGGAGTTTTGCATCTATGTTAATCAGAGAGATTGCTCTATAGTTTTCTTTTTTCATTGGATCCCTGCCTGGTTTGGGGATGAATTGATGCTGGCTTCATAAAATGAATTTGAAATTGATTGTTTTGTTTCTGTTTCATAGAAAAGGTTGAACAGTACTAATATTAGTTTTTTTTTAATATGGGTTTTTCTTTGTACAACGTACTTTGAATGGAGCTTGGGGCAGAGGAGAGCAAAGAACCAACCTGAAAGAGCTTCCAGTGGCCAAAGTTGAAATAACCTGGGCAACAAAATAACGCTAGCATTAGTTTATACCCAAGAAACAAAATAAAGATCCATGTACTCATACTGAAAAGAATAGCAGGTCGTAGGGAAAGGGGAAAAAAATTCTGTATAAAAGAATTTCAGTGACAATATAGAAGGCCTGAGGGAATAGAAAATCACTTCTAGCCAGGCCCTGGTGGCTCACACCTGTAATTCTGGCCTCTCAGAAGGATGAGATCTGAGGGTTGCGGTTCAGAGCCAGCCCAGGCAGGAAAGCCTGTGAGACTCTTATTTCCAATTAACCATGAGATAACTGGAAGTTGTGCTGTGGCCCTAAGTGCTAGCCTTGAGCAAAAAGAGCTCTGGGATAGTGCCCAAGCCCCGTGTTCAAGCCCCATAGCAGACAGGAAAGAAGGAAGGGAGGGAGGGAGAGAGAGAGATTGATTGAGAGAGAAAAGAAAGACAGAGAGAGAAAAGGAAAAGACAAAAGAAAGCAAACCCCTTCTAGAACCCCACAAGTACTAACCACCCAACATAAGTGTTTGCATGCTCAATAAAAAATAGTAATTACAAAGCCAGGTGCTGGTGGCTCACGCTTGTAATCCTAGTAACTCAGGAGGCTGAGATCTGAGGATCCCAGTTCAAAGCCAGCACGGGCAGGGCAGGAAAAGTCCGTGATCTCCAGTAAAACCACTCAGAAAACCGGAAGTGGCGCTGTGGCTCAAGTGGTAGAGCGCTAGCATTGAGCTGAAGAGCTGAGGGACAGCGCCCAGGCCCAGAGTTCAGGCCCCATGACCGGCAAAAAGAAAAAAAAAGTAATTACAAAGGGAAAAATAGTTTTCATAGAGAACATGAGGTTCAGAGGATAAAGAAATTTGTCTGTAATTAAGTAAACTAGGCAAGATTTAAACTGATTTGTCTGATTCTGATCTTCTGAGGGCAACAAGAATGAGGTCTACTTGAACGAAAATGAACTTCCTGTTAACCCTTTGACTACTGTAGAACTGAGACTCATGCTTAGAGCCTTATCCTTCTGAGGCAGCCAGCCCTGCCCCCAAGGACTATGTAGATTACCTATATTTGTTCTCTTATTTGGTGGTAGATGTGTTGTAGTCATGCTTGCTCTCACATATGGCATTATCCTCATTATCCCCAGTTCATTTTTAGCATTACTTTCTCCATGCCACTTTCCACAGTGGCTATCACAAAGATTTTTCAAAAATGCCAATGTAAACTCACTTATCTCCAGCTCATCAGCTAAGGTTCACACCTTTAGCCTCACATTGTAGACTCTTTATGATCTGGCCCTGTTTTGGTCTGTTCAGCCTCATTGCTTGCTGTTCTCCCCCACATAACTCACCCTGCCCCAATGTTTTCTCCATATTCAGCCACTTAGAAATTCCCAACAAGAACAGTCCATTCTTATTGCCACTTGAACGTTTTCTGTACACTGTTGACTCAGCCTGGAGTACATTCTCTCCTGCTTTGCTGAATCCTACTTATTTTTTAAGGTTCTTTTTTAGAGGCCTCTGGCTGGCTTCTGGGTCCTACTTTAAGTGCAGATCAGTTCTTGCTTCTCTTCTAAGTGCTCCATTAACAGTGAGACAATATTGGTAGTAGTTGCTCTTGGTGAGATGCTAAGTAAATTCCTTCAATGTGAGAGGAATTTACTTGACAGCTGAGGAAGTAGCTCAGCGATAGAGCACTGGCCTAGCCACGTGCAAAGTTCTAGGTTCAGCTTGTAGCCCCAAAACAAAAACAACAAATCCTATTCATAAAAATTAGACCTAGGGCTGGGAAGGTGGCTAAGTGGTAGAGCGCTTGCCTTGCATGCATGAGGCCCTGGGTTCAATTCCTCAGCACCATATAAGCAGAAAAACCGGAAGTGGCATTGTGGCTCAAGTGGTAGAGTGCTAGCCTTGCTGAAGAGCTGAGGGACAGCGCACAGGCCTAGAGTTCAGGCCCCACGACCAACCACCCCCCCCCCCCCCCAAAAAAAAATGGACCTAAACCTAGACCAGGAGTCAAAAGTACTTATTTTAAATGAAAATATTAGCTGGGCACCAATGGCTCATGCCTGTATTCCTAGCTCCTAACTCCTCAGGAGACTGAAATCTGAGGACCACAGCTCAAAGTCAGCTTGGGCAAAAAGTCCATGAGACTCTTATCTTCAGTAAACTACATAGAAAAGGCTAGAAGTGGTGTTGTGGCTCGAGTGGTAAAGCACTAGCCTTGAGCACAAAGATGCTCAGAGATAGTGCCCAGGCCCTGAGTTCAAGCCCAGGACCAGCAAAAAATAAATATAAATAAATAAATAAAAATATTCTCTAAATATTCTCTATTTCTCCCTGGAATTTACCAAAACCTTCAGATGCGTCATCTTGGTGGGGTCTTTGTAACTGTGGGACTAGTCAACAATGGTTCATCTATTTTGAGCATATTGAATGTATATAGTATATATAGTATGTACTCGGTGCTTTGGGGTTAGAAAGTATCTACTGCCTATTACATAGCTTGCAATAATAGAAAGAGTTCAGAAAGACCTTTGTGTTTGTCTTGGCTTCACCATTTACTTGTCTTATACTATTAGCCAACTAAGTTCTCTTTTTTGTGCATACACTTCTGGAAGTTTGTTCTGACTGTCTTATTTTCTCTTCAGCTATCAGAGAAGATGGCATGCCTGGAGGCCGGAATAAGAGCATCGGGCCAGTCCAGGTGAGTTGTGGGCCCTGTTCCCTTCATCTATCCTAAATACTAAGGACATCAAGATGCTCCAATAATAGCGACTGTACAATACCCTTTCTTCTGCTGCTAAAGGGAGGGGACAGTATCTTTGCTTTCATTCCTGCAAAACTTCTTTTAGAGCTTGGGTGTGAAAATTCCTTAAAAGCTTAAATGTATAAGTTAATGGTAAAAGCTCTTCTTGTGACCCTCAACCCAAAGATCTCACAGTGAACTCAATTATGATTCTGACCCATTAAGGGAAATTTTCCTTAATCATTTAAGGTTGTGGGTAGCTTGGCCTGGTTACTTAGCAAGATTACTTTTGCCCATTTTATCCAAAGATGTGTCAGCAGCATGTTCATTACTTTATGTAGAGTAGGAATAGTAAAACCTCACTCAAATCCCAGAACTCAGTCTGGTGGGGATGTCATATTTGTAAAGAGACATCATAGTCCTCTGAGATAAAACAGAAGATGCTCAGGGAGTGCAGGACAAAGGACTACCATCGAGGGGTAGAGATTCTGTTTGGTGACTGGAAATAATCAGGGTAAGATTCTTCGATCAGGTAAAATCTGAACTGAGATTTGAAGAAGGAAGAATTAGCTGGGGTAGGAAGCTAAACATCTTTTATTCATCCTACAAAGACTGTAAAAGGACCTTTGGGTATTAAATCCATAAAGTCTTTTCCAAGGTCAATGTTACAAAGCTTTTCCTCTAAGAATTTTATAGGGGCTGGGAAGTTGGCTCAGGGGTAGAGTACTTGCCTTGCATGCATGAGGCCCTCGGTTCGATTCCTTAGCACCACATAGGTAGAAAAAGCCAGAAGTGGCGTGGCTCAATGGCTCAAGTGGTGGAGCACTAACCTTGAGCTGAAGTGCTGAGGGACACGCCACTACAACTGACCAAAAAAATAGGAAGAGTTTTATAGTTTCAGGTCTTACCTTTTAGTCTTTAATCCATTTTCAGTTGATTTTTGTAAGAAAAGGTGAGTTATTTTCTTGCATGTGAATGTAATTTCTGTAGCACTAAGTGTTAGAGAGACTAGTATTTTCCCATTGTATAGTCTTAGCACTAAACGTGTTAAAGATCAGTTCATGTATTTATGAGTATATTTCTGGACTTTTTTTTGGGGGGGGGGGGTCCGGTCGTGGGGCCTGAACTCTGGGCCTGGGCGCTGTCCCTCAGCTCTTCAGCTCAAGGCTAGCACTCTACCACTTGAGCCACAGCGCCACTTCCGGCTTTTTTCTTTTTGCTTATGTGGTGCTGAGGATTCCAACCCAGGGCCTCAGGCATGCAAGGCAAGCACTCTACCACTGAGCCACCTTCCCAGCCCTGGACTCTTTTTTTCCCTCACTGGTCCGTGTATCTTTTCTTAACGCTAGTAAGAGGGTGAAGAATTTTGTAATACATTGCAAGTGTATATGAAAACGGAATAAAGAATCTCAATGAAAGCTGTTGATCAAAAGGGGAATGATAGTGCTAAGAAAGAGAAATAGGTTGGTAGGTAAGAGTAGGAGGAAGTTGGGCTAAAAAGGAGGTTGAAGGAGGTTGAATACCATGGAAGACTATTTACAACTATGATAATAAAGCATTGTAACCTGTTAAAATTGTTTTGGGAAGGGGGGGAAGGGAGCAAGAAAGAGTGGTAAAGAGGGGGTGAGTTTGAGGGAATTGCTGTAAACATGTATGGAAAGGTAATGTGAAACTCCCCTCCCTATATAATTGATGGGAACTAGTTTTTAAAAAAAGAAAGTAGGGCACCAGTTGGCTCATACCTATAATCCTGGCTAAGTCTCAGGGCCAATGCCCAGGCCCTGAGTTCAAGCCCTACAACTGACCAAAAAAAGTGGGGGGGGGGGGGGGGTGAGGGGAATGTCATTAGGATTTTGATAGGAATTGCACTGAATCTGTAGGTTGTTCAGGATAATAGGTACCTTTTAACAATATTTTTCCAAGGATAATATGTACATTTTAACAATATTTTTCCAGTCTATAAACACGTTTATGGCTTAATTTCTTTCAGTAGTGCTGTACGGTTTTCAGTGTACAACCCTTTCATCCTCTTAATTATACTCATTACTAAGTATTGCTACTCTCTTTGATGTGATTCTAAATGGAATTGCTTTTTTAATTTCCTTTTTGGGTTGTATATTGATAATTTAAAGATAATTTTTCTCTCTTGATTTTGATTTTACAACTTTGCTGAGTTTGTTAGTGCTAATAGGTATTTTTATAGAATTTTTAGGGTTTCCTATATGTAATATCAGGCCACTTATGGAAAAGATGAGCATTTTTTTCTTACAACTTTGTTCTCTTTCTCCCACTGCTGCACCCCACAACTATGGGCCCCCCTCAATTGAATAGAAGTTGTGTGTGAGCACCCTCTTGTTCTAGGTTCTAGAGGAAATGTTTTCAGCTCTTGATATAAGAGCTTTGGGCTTTTCACATATGGTCTATATCATTCTTTTTTTTTTTTTTTTTTTCCTTTTTTTCTTTTTTTTCTTTTTCTTCTTTTTGTTGGTCATGGGGCTTGAACTCAGCCTGGGTGCTGTCACTCAGCTCTTCAGCTCAAGGCTCGAGCTCTACAGCGCCACCAGTGCCCAGCTTTATTTTTATATGCAGTGGAATATTATCTATTGGGAAGAATCTTTAAATACTTAAGTGAAAAAAAATCTTGCACTGGGTGCTGGTGGCTCACACCTGTGATCCTAACTACTCAAGAGGCTGAGATCTGAGGATCACAGTTCAAAGCCAGCCCAGGCAGGAAAGTCCATGAGACTCTTATCTCCAATTAACCACCAGAAAATGGGAAATGGAGCTGTGACTAGAAGTGATAGAGCATTAGCCTTGAGCTCAAAGAAAGTGAGCACTAGCCTTGAGCTCAGGGAAAGTACTCAGGCACTGAGTTCAAGTCCCATGACTGGCCAAAAAAAAAAACTCTTGTCAATAGTATTTAATTCTTTCAAGTGTCCTGTGTGACCTACCTCATGTGCCTGATGTTCTTTAGTTTACTGTATCCCCAGACTGTATGGTCTGTTGAATTGCAGGCACTGAGCCTCAGAAAGACATATTTCACCTGACATTGCATTTGACTTTTTGATCCTGGATATACCCTTTTAGTCTTTAACTCCTTATAGATATTGAGCAGAAACCACTGTGATCTATAGCATTTTAATTGTGCTTAGCTGTTTTTAATAATAAAAACATGAAAAGATAGACTTGGTTGAGCACTATTCTGTGCTTTTTTTTTTTTTGTAACTTTTATCTTGAATTAATCTCCCAAGGTCTGACTCAGACCTGTGAGCTCTTTTTCACTCTAGCGTCCTATAGGAGAACTGAAGAGATGATACTGGCTCCATCTTACAGATGAGGGAGCCAAGGCTCAGAAAGTTGGGGTGATAAGAAATGATGAGTGAAATTTGAGCCCAGAATTAAGTACTCCCAACAGGTTCTGTCCTTTATTCAATGCATTAGTTATTTCCCAGTGTCCTTTGAGACCCACAGGAAAAACAGGTATAGCTCCCAGCTGGAATAAGGTGCCTCTTTTCACCCAGCCCAAATCTTTATCCCTTCTGTACTTTGGTGTTGACACTCCTCCTCCCTCGGGGAATACAAACAATAATTTCAGAGTTTTAAGAAGCTTTTTTAGAACAATCCCTCCAATTTAATATGTAAACCAAATGATTTCAGATCAACCACTCAATTTATATACCGCTAATAGAAAGTTTCTTGTTTCCCCTCCCACATCCTGTATGCTAGCTGGCATCCAATTCTGAATGTCCCTTTGTTAGGACTCTTTGGTCATTCTAAAAGTATCCTTCTGAGGCCACTGGAGCCAAGGAGTATGTAGGTTTGAGTTACACAGACTTAAAGAAAATACTCTCTTAGGTTTCTGTAAGAACAACACATGGAAATTCAGCTGGCCCCCCTTTTTAGCATTTAGTCTCTGTATGCTGTGTATATACAGTTAGGTCCCAGCCCTGCATTAGGTCTTTTGTAGAAGTTTATTCACTGTATTAGAGTACTGAACTGAGTACTCCCCCAAACTCTTGCCCAGATATGGGCATGCAGTATGACCTTACGCAAGTCAGTTCAGTTAGGTGGGTTACAGTTTCTTAAACCTTTATTTTAATCAACTTCAGAATGTCATTCTTTCTTTAAAAATATGCAAAAGTACTTTCTCTCTCCTAGGTTCCATTGCGACCTTATGTCTTTTTTTTTTTGTCGGTCGTGGGGCTTGAACTCGGCCTGGGCACTGTTCCTGTGCTCTTCAGCTCAAAGTGAGTGCTCTACCTCTTGAGCCACAGCACCACTTCCGGTTTTCTAGTGGTTCATTGGAGATCAGAATCTCATGGACTTTTCTGCCTGGGCTGGCTTTGAACCATGATCCTCGGATCTCAGCCTCCTTAGTAGCTAGGATTACAGGCATGAGCCACCGGTGCCCAGTGTGACCTTATGTCTTATAGAGGATATTCTTTTGTGATGTTACCATAAGCTCTGTAATAGTGACCCCCCCCCCCCAAAAAAAAAATTGGTGATACGTGCCTATGGTCCCAGCTACTCAGAAAGCTAAAATGGGAGGATTGTTTGAACCTAGGAGTTCAAGACCAGCATGGCAACATAGCAAAACCCTATGTCAAAAAATAAATAAAAACAAAAATATACATAGATATACATAGATAGATAGATGTTATTGTCAGCTCTCTCAGTATTGATATGTGCTGAGCTCTTTCCTGAGTATTTGATATATATATACATATACATATATATACACATATATATATACACACAATAAATTAATCCTTTCAAGAGTCCTTGGAGATGCCTATTAATCTGTTGTACTAATGAAGGAATTTAGGTTCAAGTAGTTAAATGACTTGAAGAAGATGATACAACTTTGGTTTTTTGTTTTGTTTTGGTTTTGGTTTTGGTGGTAATGGGCCTTGCACTTGCTGGGCAGGCTCTCTATCACTTGAGCCAACTACAGCCCTAAGATCATACAACTGTAAGTGGCAGCCGGGCGCTGGTGACTCATGCCTGTAATCCTAGCAACTCAGGAAGCTGAGATCTGAGGATCACTGTTCAAAGCCAGCCTGGGCAGGATAGTCTGTGAGACTCTTATCTCCAATAGACCACTAGAAAAACCGGAAGTAGCGCTGTAGTTCAAGCGGTAGAACGCTTGCCTTGAGCTGAAGAGCGCAGGGTCAGTGCCCAAGCCCAGAGTTCAAGCCCGATGACCGACAAAAAAGAAAATAACCTGTAAGTAAAAGAACCTGCATTTGGAAAAAAGTAATCAAGATCTAGAGTTTATATCCTTGTCACTGTGCTGTTTTTCCTCTTCTAGGATACCAAGAATCTTGGATGGATAGAAGAAGGACTTAAAATTCTGTCTTAGTGTAGTGATAAGAAGCTTTACAAAGGAGTCATTGAGACCTGAGGACAAAGAGGAGTATGAGGGATATATAGCCTTAGCCTTCACAGGAAAGTAGGGTCATTGGGCAAGGAGAAGGCAGGAACCAAGCTATAAGAGTAGTGAGAGACCTGGAGTAGAGGATAGAGGAGAAACAGGGTTTCTCCCTACAGAGTCCTGGGAATCTTACAAGATCTAAGTAACTTATCAGACCTAAAGAAGCATCCAGTCTAACATACATCTATTCCTTATCAAAGATATCTGAAGAAGAGATTGAAAGGATCATGTCTGGACAGGAGTTTGAGGAAGAAACCAATCACTGGAGCAACCATGGTGACAGTGACCACAGTTCCCCTGGGAATAGGGCTTCAGAGAGCAACCAGCCCTCACCAGGCTCCACACTGTCCTCCAGGTGAGCTTTCTGGAAACCTACAGTGGTCAACTAGGAACCATCCATCTCTTGTGGAGAAATACTGCCAGGCTTTCTCAGCTACCATGCCCTTGCTCCCACAAGCTTTTGGAACAGGGGCCAGGAGAGGTGTAAAGCCAGGTTTGCCAACATTATTTACTAAAGACTGAAAATGGCAGTGGTCTCTTCTATAAAGCAATAAAGAACAACAGCGTCTGTGCAGCCATTTAATACAGCACTTTTCCTTTATAAGGCATCAGGTCCCTCATTTTATCACTGAAATAAAACAAATCACACTGACAGTACTGAATTAAGTTACAATTTTTCTGACTCAAAAGAATCAGTGTCTTTACAAATTTTAATGGATAATGAGGTTTCTGTTTTGTTTTATCTTAAGCCAGCCAAGTCTGCTATTAGGAAATAAAAATTTAGAGGCTCTTGGTCCAACCATGTTACTTTCAGTTAGTTGTCAAATGTGAAATAGATAGTGCTTTCAGCTACCAAAGAAGGCTTTTTTTCCCCAGAAATCTTTCTTACAGGACTAGGACAGAAAAAACTTTTTTCTGTAAGATCCATATAGTAAATATTTCATTCTTTGCAGTCTCAGTGGTTTGAGTCTCAGATCCTCAACTCTGCCTTTAGTACTGCAAAGCAGTGTTCTAGTAGAACTTTATCAAATCAGAGTTATGGGCTAGATTTGACCTATAAGCATCATTTGCCTAACTTGTAACTCAGTTATAGGAAACAGCACTAGGTAAAAGCGCGCGCGTGTGTGTGTGCGCGTGTGTGTGCGTGTGTGTGTGTGTGTGTGTGTGTGTGTGTGTGTGTGTGTGTGGCTTAAATTCAAGGCCTGGACCTTTTTTTTTGTTTTGTTTTCTCAAGGCATCTCATAGACTTCCTGTATAGGCTGGTCTCAAACCACAATCCCCAGATCCAGCCTCCTGAGTAAGAAGATGAATGTACACTATCGGCACCTGGCCTAGAGAATTTATTTAATTAATGGACAGCATAGTTAGATTCTGCTTTCTTCATATTTAATTTTAGGTTTTAATTTTTATTATCTTTAAGTAGCTGTACAAAGGAGATGCCACTTAACAAAGAAGTTTATAAATGCAATGCATCTTGATCAGTATCACCCTCTTCAACATTCCACCCTCCCCCTTCGATTTTAGGTTTTTATTCTGTTCAGCTGTTCCTTGGTTGGCTTCCTCCTTTGAAGAGATAAAGACTTAGGGACACGGGGCTGGAAAGGTGGCTCAGTGGTAGAGTGCTTGCCTTGCATGCATGGGCCCCTGGGTTCAGTTCCTCAGCACCACGTAAGCAGAAAATGCTGGAAATGGTGCTGTGGCTCAAGTGTTAGGGCGCTAGCCTTGAGCTGAAGAGCTCAGGGACAGTGCCTAGGCCCAGAGTTCAGGCCCCACAACCAGCAAAAAAAAAAAAAAAAAAAAAGAAGACTTAGGTAAGACACATACTACATTCCTTGCTAGGTGCTAGGTTTTATGTCAGGCTAAAAAAAAAACCCAATACCTGTCTTAACATTTTCCTAGCAGAAAAATAATACAAACACTTTTGTCATCATTAGTGGTGACAAAAGACACCACTGCAAGTATAAATTAAAATCGCCTTAGAATAGTATTTGTAAAAATTCATCCAGCCAATATTTAGTTGATATCTATTTGTCCTGGAAGATCCTGAGTTAGCTAGTTATGATTTTTCTCATAGGTGAGAATGGAATATGTCTAATGGCTTGATGAGACATAAACTTAATAGTCAAACAACGTTTAAGCTACCTTCTAGCATGTTTCCTTTGAGTAAGCACTAGACCTGACATGGCTTTGACTAACATGAGATTTTTCTCTCCAGTAGGTCTGTGGAACTAAATGGATTCATGACATTCAGGGATCAGTATATGGGCATGTCTGTGCCTCCCCATTATCAATACATACCACACCTTTTTAGCTATTCTGGCCACTCACCGCTTCTGCCCCAACAAGCTCGCAGCTTAGACCCCCAGTCATACAGTCTGATTCACCAGCTGATGTCAGCAGAGGACCTGGAGCCATTGGGCACGCCCATGTTGATTGAAGATGGGTGAGTGAGCTCTGCCCTGCTTGACCCTTACAATCTCAAAATGTGCCTTTTCTGCCCCATTTTCATACTTCAGGCTTTGAATGAGTAGAGGAGATAGTGATGACTTAAGCATCAGAGAACAAAATATGTGCTCATCTTTGAAAAGTGGTAATCTCATTATTTCCTTAAGCATCTTTCCTCCTGGAATTGGGGTTACTTTTTAGTGCCGATGGAATTGGGATTTAAGAGCCTTTGTTTTTTGTATGGGTCTAGGTAGACCAGTCGCTGGGATGGGTCTGAGTACTTCTGTGTCACAGATGAGCTTTAATTTTGGGAATAATTCTACATCAAGTCTAGACGTCTTAACAGAACATTCATGGCCCTACCTGGTGTGACCTGTTGGCATCTCTAGCCAACATATCCATGCGTAGCCTGGTGGCATGTGAGTACCTTAAGTGCAGGCCTGAGTGGGTAGAAGAAGTTCTCAGTCTGAAATCAGCTCTACCTGACTAGATTATAGTTCAGCCACCCATTGCTGCATCCATTCCTTCTTGGGCCTTGAGCATAACGTCTTGAAATATTTGATCTCCCTGAAGGTATCCTGAAATCCTTAAGCTAGACTCCAATGTCAGAATAAGGGACTCAGATATCTATTCAAAAGGTCACACAAAGCCTTTATATATTAATGTCTGAGTAAATTGTGAAAAGGACCTTGAAAAGAAAACTGTCCTCCCTTGCCTTGAGTTTGTTACTTCAGAAGCCCCCTTTAGGCCAGAGCTAAGAAAAGTTCCGTTTCTTCCATCCAGCTATAGCTAAAGGAAGGGCTGAGCAACTCTTCCTGAATTTACCACCAGGGGGTGCAGTGAGAACAGGAAAACTTGGTCTATTGAGACTGACTATTCAGTCAACATTTGGGATGGGGAAGCTGGGCATGTGATGGATTGAACTTGCGGGTCTAATGCTTGCAGACCAAGTGCTCTACCACCTGAGCCACACCACAAAGCTCATTTTTATTCTGGTCCCAGTATTGAGTAGGAACCAGGTCTACCCCATAGGAATTTTTATTGCTAAAAGTAGGGCCAAACCAAGTGACTAGGGATCTCTTTTAAGACATGGAATGTCTTGAGTCATATTCTTTGATAAGTTTTCCCCTCAACAACCTTTTATCACCAGAACTGACCCTGAGCTTTTGCTGCTGACTTTAATCCTACCCTTTAATAAGAAAATCGAGTTTTAATGAACCAGAAATCTTGGGTCAAGGGCAAAGGGCCCACAAGGACATAGTGCCCTCAAGAGTACCCTCTGACTAATGGAAGTGGCTTTCTCCTGTCATACCCCCAGATACGCTGTGACACAGGCCGAGCTGTTTGCCCTGCTTTGCCGCCTGGCTGATGAGCTGCTCTTTAGGCAGATTGCTTGGATCAAGAAGCTGCCTTTCTTCTGCGAGCTCTCAATCAAGGATTACACGTGCCTCTTGAGCTCTACGTGGCAGGAGTTAATCCTGCTATCGTCCCTCACAGTTTACAGCAAACAGATCTTTGGGGAGCTGGCTGATGTCACTGCCAAGTACTCACCCTCTGATGAAGAACTACACAGGTGAGGGCTTCTGGCTGGGGAGGAAATCACAAGCAACCAAACCATTGTCATCCCTTGCAAGGTGGGCTTACCTGGTCCTCTAAACAATGGGCATTAAACTGTACAGGCTGCCACTAACTAGCTTTGTGCACTGGCCAAGTCTCTGATTTTCAGGTTCTGAATCTACAAAATAAGATGATAACAGTACCTCCCCAACAAGGAAGGAATAAATGTTGTCAAACTTAGCATTGCACTAAGCTGTCTGGATTAGTGGCATAGATAATGTATTTAAACTGCCTCCAAGGAAGGAGGGTCTAAATTGGAAGTTTACAACCCAATGGGCTGGGAAGGTGGCTCAGTGGTAAAGCGCTTGCCTTGCATGCTCAAGGCCCTGGGTTCGATTCCTCAGCACCACATAAGCAAAAAGAAAAAAAGCCGGAAGTGGCGCTGTGGCTCAAGTGGTAGAGCACTAGCCTTGAGCTGAAGAGCTGAGGGACAGTGCCCAGGCCCAGAGTTCAGGCCCCACGACCAGACCAAAAAAAAAAAAATGAAGTTTACAACCCAAGAGACCTAGAAATCATCCTGTTACCTGCTATATGTCAGGCGCTAGGCTAGATACTTTATAGTATTCTTTCTCACAGCTTCCAGGATGATATGTGCCATTGTGCCTATTTCATGAAAGAAAAAAAAAATGGAGAGCTATCTCTTGAGGGTTTTTAGATTTGGATCTAGAACCTAGATTTGAGCATACATCTGCCTGATTTCTGTGCTTCAGTTCTTCCATGACATCTGAGGTGTAGAGAGATTAAGCCTGAACAGGTGTTCTACCAGAGCCAGGCTGACTAGCATCCTTTTAATCTCCCAGTCTAGAATGTTCTCTCTTCCTCGCTGCTTCCATGACCTATCCAAGCCCTGTTTGGAAACTGTGTTTTCTGACCCCTAAATCATGGTAAATGAGCTGACTGCTTTTCTGATTTATTAATTTAGTCATGAAATATCTTTATACCTTAATTCATATTTAAATACACTTCTGTAAACCACCTGCTATACAGCTTAAAATAACAAAAATCAGAGGATTTTAGGGCACTCAGGAGGAAAGAAGAAATGCTAGAGAGGGTAGAATGCCATATCTCCCTTCACAAGACTAGAGTGCATCTCCTCCTACAACCCAGTCATGGCATCAAAACAAGATAATGAGGCCTTTAAGACTCCTTTGCTCAGCTGAGCCAGGGGAGTGTAGGTCCTGACTGTCTTCCTTGGTTTTCTAATATTTCCTTCTTAATGATGTTTCCTGCCTTCAGGATGATCTATAAAGACAGTTTTTAACCCAGCTGACAGTCCTGTAAACAAAGCTAATTTTGTAGGTGACCTAACCCTGTAACTAGAATCTCTAATTTATTGTTTCCATCAAATTTCTGTTTCCAGTTCTGTCACTATGGGCTGAGAAGATGTTTAGATAGCAGGCAGCCTGCTCTGATGTTGAAGTTTGCAGAACTAGCTGAAGGAGCCCCAACTCACTACCTGGACTTTCCTAGTTTAGTCTGTGACTATCTTCAGAGTCAGCCTTTGAGCTCTGTTCCTTGTAGCCTGCTGTGTCTTCCTGGGCCCCTTCTGCAGGTAGTCAGGGAGCGCAGGTAGTGCAGTGCTGTTTTGAGAACACTATCAACCTCAGCCCCAAGATCAAGGCAGGGGCCAGTACCAGCTGAGTTAGGATGATCTAAAACTGCTAATAGAGTAATAGTCATTACCCTCATGTGACTTTGTACATTAATTTAAAAGTCCAGTTCTTCATTTGCACTAGCCACATTTCAAGTGTTTCAGTAGCCACATGTGGCTAGTAACTACTACATTGTTCAGTGCAAATATCAGACATCATCTTTACAGAAAGTTATCTACCATGTTGCTTCTGAGGAAATGTTTTGAGAATAAGAAATGGGTTTGTTGTTTGGATTCTCACTCTTCTATGGAGCCCATCAGTGGAAAAATAAGAGTTAAACTTCAATATGCTAGACCTGCCATGGCTATTTTTTGAGCATCCGATGTGTGTTTCAGGGCAGGGGGAGCAAGTGTTGCTGGTATTGCAGATGATGCAGACATCATTACTTGCTTGCTTGTTTGTTTGCAGTACTAGAGATTAAACCCAGGTCCTTATACACATTAGGCGATTACTCACTGTCATTGAGCTAACATCCTTAGCTCTTTTCCATTTTATTTTGAGACAGTGTCTTCCCAAGTTGCCCAGGTTAACCTCTAACTTGAAATCTTCCACCTCAGCTTCCCAAGAAATTATTACAGACATGCACCACCATGCCAGATAAATGTGGTCAGTATTCTGTTGTTTAGTTTAGAACAAATAAGCAAATAGAAGCCTTCTGACCCCCTCATATACAGCCCAGGGTCGTCTTAGTAGTTGTATGAAGGACTAGACAGCACAGACTAGGGAGCAAGGGCTCTCCTCAGAGAATTTGAGGAAGCCATTACCACAGGAACAGGTATTTGAGCTGCATCTTGAAATGGGAATTTTCTCTTTTCCCTTCTTTGGTTTTGTTTAGTTTTTGTTTGAATTTAATGCCTTGTGCTTCTCTTCTCTTCTCTCTTTTCTTTTCTTTTCTTTTTTTCTTCAGCTCCTGGGGCTTGAACTCAGGGCTTGGGCACTGTCCCTGAGTTTTATACTTAAAGCTAGTGCTTTATCATTTGAGCCACAGTGCCACTTCTGGCTTTTCTGAGTAGTACATTGGAGATAGGAATCTCACAGACTTTTCCTGGCTGGGCTTGCTTTGAACTACAATCCTCAGATCTCGGCCTCTTGAGTATCTAGAATTACAAGCATGAACCACTAGCGCCTGGCTTCTGTGCTTTTTTGAGATGCACTGTACCCTCTGATTCATGCCTCCATCCTTTGCACTTGTAATTTTTTTTTTGGGGGGGGGGGGGGGGTCCGGTCGTGGAGCCTGAACTCTGGGCCTGGGCGCTGTCCCTCAGCTCTTTAGCTCAAGGCTAGCGCTCTACCACTTGAGTCACAGTGCCACTGCCAGGTTTTTTTCTTTTTTGTTTATGTGGTGCTGAGGAATCGAACCCAGGGTCTCAGGCATGCAAGGCAAGCGCTCTACCACTGAGCCAACTTCCCAGCCCTGCACTTGTAATTTTTGAGATAAAGTATTTTTCTTTCCAGGCTCTAGCCTTGACTACAGTCTTCTTAGATCATGCTTCAACCATAGCTGGGATGACAGCATGCCACCTCACCCTGCTTCCTCTGTTGAGATAGGCTTGTGAGCTTTTCTGCCCAGGCTAGGAGTACAGTCAGTCTTTCACTGTGATAGGTGTGCACCCCTGCATCCATCTATTGATAAAGGAGAGGTCTTGTGAACTACAAAGAGAGAAGGGGAAGTATATGATAAAGGCAGAAAATTAGGGGAGAAGTGACTAGAAATGAAAGTACAGAGAAGAAAGAATTTGCGTGTGATTTTGTAAATGTTCATGTCATGGGAAGTTGTTTTGTTGCTGCTACTGTTGTATTGCTGGTACAGGGTTTCAACTCAGATCCTCATGCTTGCTTGGCTTGCTCTCTACCACTTGAGCCATGCCTCCAGCCCAGTATTTTGCTTGTTAGTTTTGGAGATGGGATCCCAAGGACTTTACTGCCTTACTCTGCCTTGTCTGGCTTCAAACTAAGAACCTTAATATTTCAGCCTCCTAAGTAGCTAGGATTGCAGGTGTGATCCATCAGCATGTATGTAAGGACTCCCGCGGATGGGTTGCATTTGAGGAAAATTCTTTCTTTTTTTTTTTTTTTTTTATCGGTTGTGGGGCTTGAACTCTGGGCTTGGGTGTTGTTCCTGCACTCTTCAGCTCAAGGCAAGCGCTCTACCGCTTGAGCTACAGCGCCACTTCTGGTTTTCTAGTGGTTTATTGGAGATAAGAATCTCACAGCCTTTCCTGCCCGGGCTGGCTTTGAACCGCGATCCTCAGATCTCAGCCTCCTGAGTAGCTAGGATTACAGGCGTGAGCCACCGGCGCCCGGCTGAGGAAGATTTCTGTGGCTGAGAATAGTTGGTTATGGACAACACTGAAGCACTAGTAACAACGTTGAAGGCTGTTCTGTAGTCAAGTGAAATACAACAAGGCCTGGGCCTGGCAGCAGTGAGGTAAAACAGACAAGGCATAAAGCTAGAGGTGAAGCCAGTAGGACTTCTGTGAGTGGGAAAAGTTATGGTTGGTTGCTGGGTTAGGGGGCTAGGTGGGCACCAGTTATCTTAGCCAAGATAAAGTCACTGGGAAGAGCAGAGTTTGGGTATCTTTGAGCCTGAGGTGCAGGAAGCTATAGGCTAATCACTGTCAAACATCCCCCTCTGCTGAAGCCCGGGTGGGAGTCTAATTGGCCATAGCTCTTTCCTCCCTTGCCTGCGCCTGCGCTCCTCCCACTCCCCCACACAGCCTTTACTTCTTCACAACTCTTGAGTGTGAGTGTTTGCCATCAGGAAAAGGTTTTTCCCAGATGATGCATGGCCATTTCCTTTTCTCTTCTCCAATAGTGAGTTAAATTTATGGGGCCCATATTCCTTAATCAGACTATTATCAGACAGTGAGCTGGACGAATTTGATTTAAAGCAGATTGTAGCACCAGCCAGTGACTGCTCCTGCCCTAATCAACACTCCTTCACTCCCCAGAGAAGGTACTTTGAGCCAGATGGACTTTAATGGGCACTTCTGTCTCAGGATCACTGGTTTCCTTTGACCAAACTTCTAAAAGTTGTCTCTAGCTTCCAGCCTGTCCCCTGAAAGGCTCAGGAAAGGCTGGCTTGCTTGCTTTCTTCCTTCCTTCCTTTCTTCCTTCCTTCCTTTCTTCCTTGCTTTCTTTCTTTCTTTCTTTCTTCCTTCCTTCCTTTCTTCCTTTCCTTCCTTCCTTCCTTCCTCCCTTCCTTTCTTTCTTTCCTTCTTTCTTTCTTTCTTTCTTTCTTTCTTTCTTTCGCTCTTTCGCTCTTTCTCTCTCTCTTTTGTCTCAATAACAGAAGTTAATAATATGTAATGCCCACCAATTATAGAAGATTTACTGCACCAAATTTTATCTTCAGTTTTTTTAAATATATGACTTTGTTTTGTTCTGTTTTGTTGAGACAGGGTCCCTCTATGTAGTTCAGGCTAGCTTCAAATTTGCAGTCAAATTTGCGTTGGCCCCCCTCCAGGTGCTGGGGTTACAGCCATGATCCCCACACCTAGCTTACATATACTACTTTTTTTTTTGTCAGTTGTGGGGCTTGACCTTGGAGCCTGGGCACTATTCTTGAGCCTCTTTGTGCTCAAGGCTAGCATTCTACCATTGGAGCCACAGTATCGCTTCTGATTTTTGAGTAGTTAATTGGAGGTAAGAGTCCCATTGGACTTTTCTGCTCGGGCTGGTCTTGAACCACAGTCCTCAGATCTCAGGCTTCTGAGTAGCTAGGATTATAGGCCTTAGCTACCAGCACCCGGCTCATATATTACTTCTTGAGTCCTCACTGCCCTTATATGATATTGGTGCTGATATGAGCCCTATTCTAGAGATAGGGAACTTAAGGTCAGAGAGATGAAAACTCAGAGTTGCAAAGCTAGAAAGAGATGGTGTTACTCTCATCCAGGTCTGTTATGTTCCAGAGCCTGGGCTCGTCACTGTTTATCCTATACTATCCTAATAATAATATTTGTTATTGTTATTATTATTATTTTGTCAGTCATGGGGCTTGAACTGGGCACTGTCCCTGAGTTGGTTTTTTTTTGTTTTTGTTTTTTGCTTAAAGCTAGCATTCTACCATTTTGAGTCACTGTGCCATTTCTGGTTTTTAGGTGGTTAGTTGCAGATACAAGTCTCAGACTTTCCTGTCCAGGTGCTTCAAACCATGGTCCCCAGATCTCAGCCTCCCAAGTAGCTAGAATTAGAGACTCATCAGCACCTAGCCTATACTAAATTCTTACTCTCCCAGAGCCTTCTCCAAAAGGGTTGACTTTCTAGAATTTATCCTGGAGCTGCATTCTGACTTGCCCTCTTGAAGTCTGTGTGTGGATGCTAAGATAGCATTTCCTTGAAGCTTGTAGCTGATGACTACATTTAGATGAATGGGAAAGGGACAACTGGGCCTCTCTGGCCCCGTAATGGGATATAACTTACACGATGTCAGCTTCAATTGCTGACTAAATGGTCCAGTGGTTTGGGGGATCCTGGCAGGAATGTTTTCCTTGTCCTAGCATGCTTGTGTGATAGGAACCTAGAAGAAGAATGGGTGTGTTTGTCCAACTTTATAGCTTTGAATGCTGATAATTTGTAGACAGAATACAGGGGCGTTAGAACAGTGGAGTGGGCAGATGTGGAGGAGGAACGGCTGCAGGGAGAAGGCAGGCCCATGAAACAGAGAATAACTTTGTTTATCAAGGGATGGGATGTGGGTGTGGAGGGAAGCTTTGTAGCCAAGCTGTGGAGACTGAGTGGGGGCTTCTGGGCTTCTGCCAAGCCCTACCCACCACCCCACCACCACCACCAGTATCAGGGGTTCATGATGGTTGCCTGTTTTAGGGAATTTGGAACATTGTGATGTGCTGCCCCCAAAAGAGCAGATCTGGGGCATGTGCACAACCAAGTACTTGAGGACTGCTTTGTGTCCCCAGGTCAAGACTTAGCCAGGAACAAGTTTGGCAGTGATGGCTTGGTGTCTGGCTGATAGCCACACACCTGCAGATTTTGTGGTGCCAGAGGGAGTACTTGGAGCAAGGAGTTGCTGATTAAGGGACATAGCATTATCTTTACCTGCTACACTGTTGGGCCTCCAGATGAATGTCAGTACTGCTCTCTCACCTCCTCCTCGTCTCATCCCCGCACCTCCAAGATAATAAAGCCCCTTTCTCCTGTAGCCAGTAGGTACTAAATGTGGAATGTTGTTCACATCCAGCATCACAGAGCCCCTGGCACCCAGTCAGGCCTAGGCCCTTGACTGGATGTTGCAGGAACACAGAACTCCTGAGGTTCTCAGTTCGTGATTGGAACTGAGAAATGTACAGGACCAGCATGGACAGTGTAGTGCTTGGAAAGGCTACTAGACTCAAAATCAGAAAGCTTCCCCCCAACACTTAACTAACTTAAATGTAACTTTGAGGTGATGTCACCTCTTTTTCTGCTGGGTGATAGGGAGATTTAATTGTAAGAAAGCATGTGAAAGGACTTAGTGATAGAAACCAAGGTGATGACGATTCATATACAGTTTGGGATTTATTGGAAGTAGTCAATAGACAATGTTTGTGGGAAATACTTGATACCATGACAAATAGGGTTGTTGCAGTGGTTATTCAATATGAATTTGTCTGTCATCCAGTCTGGGAAACTATTCATTGTAAACACCATTGGGCCAGGCACAGAGTTTTGAGTCAGCTGTCATAGCTCAAATCAGCAAACATCCATGTAACTCTACTACTGGTATGAAGCATACTCACCATTAGTCCTTGGGATAATCTGACTTGGGGCTCATTTGCCTAGCATTTGTTCTTTCACCAAGAAGCTCACTTTTAGTACAGAGAAGGGAATATGTTCCCCTATAGGGCTCCCCCCTTAGACATTTGAAATACCAATGCTTCAAGGAGCCCACAAAGTTCCAAATTCTAATTCTGCCACCATCTAGCTGTGGGCTGGTAGAACAGATCCCTGCTTTGAACTTCAGTTTCTCACCTATACCTCACCTGACTCATGGAGTTGAGAGTTGAAGGACATAAGGCACAAAAAGTGCTAGCGAAAGCTAGCATGGTGTGGATCCAGCACCTTTTCTTCCCCACCTTGAGTGAAGTCAGGGATGCCAGTAAAATCTTTCATTGTCTATCACCTGCGCCCTGCTGGAAACAGTGAACCGAAACAAATCCAGCTGGCAGCATTTTCAGCATTGTGGCAGAGGCTCCCATAGAGTCATGGCAGCTGCCTTTGATACGGGAGGTTCATCTCAACGAAGTAGTATCTTAATATTGTCCTAGTTCTACTCATTTACATTCCAAACCTCCTTTGGCTCTTGGGTAGACCAAGCAGGCAATCATTATTATTTTGCAGAGGAGACCCTCAAAGCTTAAGGGAACCCAAGTGACTGTCCCAGAGCTGCACAGCAATCGAGGGTAGAGCTGGACTTGAACCTGGATTTGCTTGACTTTACCTGACCTTGGGGAATATCAGTTTACATGAACTTTTTTGTTGATGTTGATGTTGTTATTGGTCGTGGGGTTCGAACTCAGGGGCTCAGCACGGTCCCTGAGCTCTTTTGCTCAAGCTTAGCATTGTACCACATTGAGCCACAGCTTTACTTCCTATTTTCTGGTGGTTAATTGAAAGTAAGAGTCTCCCGGACTTTCCTGAATAGCTAGGATTACAGGTGTGAGCCACCGGAGCCCAGATCAGCCTCTTTTTTAAAAGGAGTGAGCTACAGGAGCTCTCCACCCCTTCTGACCTCTGCTCAGATCACAACCTCTAGGTAAAGTCTGTGTCTCTTTCCCAGATTTAGTGATGAAGGGGTGGAGGTGATTGAGCGGCTCATCTACCTCTACCACAAGTTCCATCAGCTAAAGGTCAGCAATGAGGAGTACGCGTGCATGAAAGCAATTAACTTCCTAAATCAAGGTGAGTGGCTGCGGGGTAGAGGACAGGGATTCTTGCTGTGTATTTTTTGGCAGTGAGCATTTACCCTCCTGTTTGACTCTCTCCTTCCCAGCAGGACGGTCACAGCATCTGCCACACCACACAACTCCAGGCTCCCTTGTCATCACTCTCCCCTTTAGAGTGCAAGGAATACTTTGGATTTTTTTTTTTTTTTTTTTGAAACCTAAATGCCACAATCTCTATAACTCATAAAGGAAGGAAAACTATTTGCTTTGTTTAGTCAGTTTTAATGCATTAAAACCCAGACACCAAGGACAGTACATGCGTCATTTAAAGTATGTACCAAGTTTGCCAGTGACTGAAGAGCAGAGTGACTGATGAAAGTGTTGGAGATAAGGTTCTGTGACAGGCCAGCAGTGACTCTGCCGCCCTGCAGGGAGAGTGGTGATGCACACAAACTTATACGTACATAGCAAGCCTGGGTTTTCATTAGAAGACTGCCAGATGTGATTTATGGGGCACATTACTAACAAAGTGGCACTTAGGTGCGGTTGGTTACCAGTATAGGATGGAGAATTGGTATTCTTCTCTCCAGAGTAGTGTGTGAGTGCCCTACATTCAGAGTGGAACTGGGCGATTCTGTATCCTATGCCACTGAAAGTGCTCTCTTCCCTGTGCTTATTTACAGTCCAGAGACTCTTGATCCCCTCCTCTGTGCCACTCTTCCCCACCGTCCCCCACTGGCCAGGCCCCTCCTCATTCTGCCTCTTCACCACTGGTGCATTCATCTCCCTTAGCTAAGCCCTGCGCTGGGCATTAAATGTACATGTTGAAAAAAAATGAGAGCCCAGGTCTTCCAAGAGGTACACACTGACAGTGCGTGGCACATTAACTGGGCTTCATGCTGCGGGACATCAGTAGCAGCCTCTTGCAGGAAGAGAATTTTGAGCTGGGCCTTAAGTATGATTTATATAGAAAATACTTTCACTCATGTCCAATATGTTAAAAGCATGTGAGTAGGTAAGTAGATAGAGGGCTACACAAAGACATCTTATGAAAAACAGGAGGCACAGAGGACATTGGAGATTGTGTGTGTGCGTGTGTGTGTGTGTGTGTGTGTGTGTGTGTGTGTGTGTGTGTGTTATATGAATGTGTAGTTATCAGCAAGGTTTCTTATTGGCTATAATGGGGAAATTGAAAAATATTGTAAAGGGTAAGGTTAGAAAGATTTGTTCTGCTTTTACTGGTGCCTTTTGTGCCATGTCCTAGACTTGTAGCTGGGTGTGAAGTTGAGAAAGATAGCCTAGTTCTTAAAGGGCTCAGTCTAGTGAGAAAACTTATGTTTTCTTCCGTTTTATTTCTCTCCTATGTTTAGAGCTTAATTTCTCCATATCAGGAATACAAAAGAGCCTGTGTTTAATAACACTTCATTGAAAGATGGACATCTTCGAGAAGCTGGTGTTTTTCACACCAAAAAGCCCCTCCCATCCCTGTTGTTGTTTTTACAGATATCAGGGGTCTGACCAGTGCTTCACAGCTGGAACAGTTGAACAAGCGATACTGGTACATTTGCCAGGATTTCACTGAATATAAATACACACATCAGCCAAACCGCTTTCCTGATCTCATGATGTGCTTACCTGAGATTCGATACATTGCAGGTAACATCCGGGTCCTAAACCTATGCTTCTCTTACATGGTAGAGGGAATGAGACAGTGTTTGCAGGATTCCTGGTCATTGCAGGCCCATCATCAACTGCATGAAACACTCAGAAAATTTGTTTTATAACGGGGGGGGGGGGGGTGTATTTTGTTTCTTGTACCAAGGTTTGAACTAGACAGCCACTCTACACTCTACCACTGAGCCACACTCCCAGCCCTTTTTTTTTTTTTTTTTGCTCTAGTGTTTTTTTGTTTTGTTTTGTGCCAGTCTGGGGCCTAGGTGCTATCCCTGAGCTATTGGGCTCAGGGCTAGCATTCTACCACTTGAGCCCAGGCTGACTGAACCTAGATCCTCAAATCTCAGCCTCCTGAGTAGCTAGGATTACAGGTGTGAGTCATGGCTGCCTGGCTTCTGTCATTAATTTTTTTATAATATTTTAAGCTTTTACCTCATATTTACTCCTACTGAGCTAGGATTAAAGGCATAAGCCCATGATACCTAGCCCATTAACTTGTTTGTTTTTGTTGGTCGTGAGGTCCGAACTCTGGGCCTGGACACTGTCCCTCAGCTCTTCAGCTCAAGGCTAGTGTTCTACCACTTGAACCACAGTGCCACTTCTGGCTTTTTTGCTTATGTGGTGCTAAGGAATCGAACGCAGGGCCTCTTGCGTGCAAGGCAAGTACTCTCCACTGGCCCCTTTTGTTTTTTGTTTTGTTTTTTGTTAGTAGGGTCTAGCCAACTTTTTTCCCAGGCTAGCCTCAAGCATTGACCCTCATATTTGAGTCTCCCAAGTAGCTGGAATTATAGGCGGGCACCACTACATTTGTCTTTGTTCTCTGGAAGAGAAGCTAACATTTCTTATGCCCCTCTTATGTGCAGGCCTTTTGGGGATTTATTATCATTCAGTCTCAGAATAATCTCTGTAAAGCTGGTGGCTGGTATAATTATGGCCATTCTATGGACAGAAAAACAGGCTCAGAGTATATGAAATTAACTTCATTTTCTGAAGTACATGATATATGAATTGCATTTCACTTGAAGAGAGAAGTTCATTTCATAGCGTTGTTCACAGGCTTTCAGGACTGGTGTCTTTAAACCTCTGTGTTGTGAGGTCCTATGCCACTTCTGAGGCTCTGGAGATTTAATAGGTCCATTTCAATGAAGAATCTTGGCTTTTACTTTGCTTCATATAGTAAAAAGTCCTGTTTGTAGTTGTTCCATGCTTGCCAAGGTGACTGCTAGACTGGAATTGTTGTGCAAAATTCACCAATACAGCTTTACAGGAAAAACTGTCATTCTGACAAGGGGATGTGAAATTGTTTCCTCTCTTTCTTGGGCCATAGAGCAGTATTGCTTAGGTGGGCCCAACCTGGCAGCACTTTCAAGTCACCTGGAAAGCTTTTGAAAAACATCAGTGTGTGGGTGGCAACTCCAAATAGTCTGATTATTTGGAATCAGTCTTTGTTAATTGTTCCCTGGACTCTCAGGAGCTGACAGGGAAAAGAGCCTATAAAACTCCTTTATCCCTGAGTATCTCAGATTTATTTGTCTCTATGACTCCTCCCCTTTCTTCTTCAGTACTTTTGGAAAGCAGTGCTTTACAGAAAGCTAGTTACATTCGTTATGAGTCTCGTATGGTATTTTAGCTTAACTGTAAAAGAGCTTGGCAGGATGACCATTCACATTCCCTGTCTATAAAATGGGAGCAAAAAGTAATATCAACCAGTCGCCAGTGGCTCACGCCCGTAATCCTAGCTACTCAGGAAGCTGAGATCTGAGGATCGTGGTTCAAAGCCAGCCCGGGCAGAAAAGTCTGTGAGACTCTTATCTCCAGTAAACCACTAGAAAACCAGAAGTGGCGCTGTGGCTCAAGCAGTAGAGTGCTCGCCTTGAGCTGAAGAGCACAGGGACAGCGCCCAAGCCCAGTGTTCAAGCCCCACAACCGACCCCCAAAAAAAAAAAAGTAATTATCAGGGAGAACTAGGAAAAATTAAATAATCCCCAGCATCGAGTAAGAGTTGTAGATACTAGTGCATAGCTCCGTCATTAGTCTCCTGAGAGCACAGGAGCAGCATCAGGACATCATTAAGCCCTCATCTCACCCCGACCGTGTTCCTGGCTTGTCCCTGCCTCATCTCACCCCGACCGTGTTCCTGGCTTGTCGCTGCCTCATCTCACCCCGACCGTGTTCCTGGCTTGTCCCTGCCCCAATCTCTCAAGATGTTCTCCCTTCACAGGTCCAAGTAGAAGCCGGTTCACCCTCCACTAGTGGCCACTGCTCACTCTCCTCCCTTTTTTCCAGGAAAGATGGTGAATGTGCCCTTGGAGCAGCTGCCCCTCCTCTTTAAAGTGGTGCTGCACTCCTGCAAGACAAATGTGGTCAAGGAATGACCTGCCCTGCACCCGCCTCAGGCTACCCACAGGGGCTTGGGTAGGCAGGACAGGCTCTAGAGAAGAGAGCCAGAGAGACCAAGATGGATGCCATGGAGTCCTGCCTCCATAGCAAGAAGAGTTTTTGTTTGTTTGTTTGTTTAACCTCATTTTTCTATATATTTATTTCACGACAGAGTTGAATGTATGGCCTTCAACATGATGCACATGCTTTTGTGTGAATGCAGCAGATGCATTTCCTTGCAGTTTACAGAATGTGAAGATGTTTAATGTTACAGTGTTGTCATTGTTTAGAGATAGTTCTTTTGTATTTTGAGGGAGAGTGTGGAACGAGCTGAGATGACTATTTCCATGATGTTGACAAAGACGACTACCTCAATGGAAGCGGGGGTGTGACCATCCCTATTTCTTCCACATTTTCTCAGCAGACATACACTTGTCTGTCAGAGAGCAACTGCCTTTTTCTAGACTTGTCAGGTGAAAGTATACCAAAGGGGCAAAGTGGTGGGGGGGTGAGCAAGGCATTTGGAACAGGGCCAGAGATAGGGGCTAGCCATCCTTCTTCCTTGGAAAGCATGAAAGTTGAGAGTAGGACTCAGTGGCCAAATCTAAGGCAGATATACTTGCACTCAAAGAGTCTTAAAAGCAGAGGCTCTCTATTTCCCACCACTGCCAGTAGTCAGTCAGTCTGTAGGTCTTGCCTACAGCTCCCTTAGGACCCACACCTACCTAATTTCTTTACATAGATTTACTAAGCCCTACCTTCTACAGACCCCTTCCCTCTCTCTCACAAATTTTCCTTTCTTTCAGCTCTTAGATAAACCAAGCAGATAGCCATGTTTTGAGTCTTGGTACCTACTACTGATCTATTCTCCTTTATTCTCCTTTTCACTTGGTAGAGGGACAAAGGCAAGGAGTATTTAATAAATACCCTTTGGAATTCCCTGTTTCTCTCCTAGAGCTGTACTGAAACTACCGTCTCCTTTTTTAAGTGGAAAGGGCACATCTGCTGACCAGAGATTTTATTCCTCAGTTCTCTTCCAAGTCCTCATCTTTCCAAAGTAAGATTGAGTTTGCCAGGACCCCAGGAGAGACAGCCCAAGGCTCGGAGTAGCCCAGCTACCCCCCTTTGAGTGTCATCAGTGGCCTGGCATGCCGAGATCCGGAGGACTGGAACAGAAGCCCCTGAAAGGGAAGGGAGCTTTAAACTACCTCATGTTCCTAAGGGTCGGGCCAGCTGCCATTCTAGATATGGCCTGGACCCTTGTTCTGTCACTACCTGCTCCACCTAGTCCCTCAAGTGTTCCCACTCCTCTTGGTTTTGCCAGGGCTGCCCCAGGTTTGTCTTGGAGCTAATTCAGGTGCTTTTCCCTTCTCTGCCTTAATACAGCAGTGGCTCCAGTTCACACCCTTCTGCGGCTAGTGGCCCAGACATCCTCAGCGGAGGGCAGCCCTTGCTGGCTGGAGGGTTCCAGGGCTACTTCCTTCAGCCTTTTTGGCCAAAGGCTTTTGCCGTCCCCCAGCTCAACATAGTAAACCTGCCCAGGGGGCTACCACATCTTTGTGCAGACTGGGTAGTCTGTGTTGTGTAATTTTTTTTCTTTTTGGTGAAATGTTACGGGTACCAGCAAAGTGATGATTTTGTCCCTTGATGGATATAAAACTCAGAGTGTTAATTCTCATTGCCATTCCCCAACTGCTCTGAGAAAGAGAGACCTGTTCCTCAGGTAATAGCATGTTTTTCATGTCAGTGGAAGAGAGAGAGAGAGAAAGGGAGTGTGTGTGTGTGTGTGTGTGTGTGTGTGTGTGTGTGTGTGTGTGTGTCTTTTAAGTTCACATTATTTTTCTTGTTCGCTTGAATTTTTTATTTAACCAACTAGATCACATTCTTTGGCTACAGGTCAGATTCTGAGCTGCTTTCCTTCAGATCTAGGAGGCGACACATACCAGAGACCCTTTCTCTAAGACGGCTCCTTGTGTACAGCCTCTTTCTTTGCTTAGACCTCCATCTGTCAAATTATTGTTTTTCGAAATTGCTTTTCACATTAGCATTTTACCCGTTGTGTTTGGATGTTAAAGGAATTGCTCTCTGATGAGGCAGGAACGTGTCTCTGTGATAATGTAGTATTAAACAGAGCAAGTTGTTAATTTGTGGAGTGGGGGAAAGGTTCTGCAAGTTGCCATTGTACAAATCCATTTTTACAAATGTTTGCAGCGGATTCCACAGAACAAAGAGCCCATTCATTGCCGACAGCCCTGCAGAATCTCTGAGCCAAGTAGTTGTGTGTTCCAAGCCAGAGCCTGACCTGTGGACCGCCTTTAATGTCTTCTGCACCCAGTCCTCTCATGACGTGGGCTTCTTTTAAACAGGGTAAAGTGAATGTGTTGCATTGCAAACTCAGGTATGATGATGAGAAGGTGGGAGTATAGCTAGCAGTGTGGAGACCTTAGGTCAGCCACCAGATGCATTTGTGGATTTGGTTTGAAGGACACAGAGGAAGGTTGGAGGGAGAGGTTTGGTATGTTTGGTTGTTTTTTTGTTTTGTTTTGTTTTGTTTTTTTGCCTTCCCATAATGTTTGGCTAACAGGCAGTCTTTTTGCTAGTGGAAGAAGAAAAAAGTTGTGTGTATTGTCTTTAATTCTTCTCCCTTCTGTCCTCCTTCTGATCCCAACACTCAGTGTGTGAATTTTCCACCATAAAAAATATCTCTGAAAGTCGTGCGGAAAGGAGAGTCTCACCTCCGTGTACTACTTCAAGGCATGCAGGCTTTCCCCTTCCTTCCTTTTGAACATTTTCTTGACCTAAGATAAAACTTTGCCATCTTGGAGCTTCATCTGGAATTCAGGCTCCCTTTGTAGACTTTCAGAGCCCTTTGCAAGGCTTGGTGGTCCTGCCCTTAGTCCAGAGCAATTCCTTAGAGCTATCTCAAAGCACTCCATTTGGCTCAGCGGATGGGCAGTCCCCATGCCCAGCCTGTAAATGAGGTGAGCAGGCCTCTAGGGGTAGAACTAGAGCTGGGGGGCAGAGGAGAGCAGAGATCTCCAGGGTGTCGCTCCTCACCCACCTGCCGCTGACTTGCCCCACTTCTCAAGGGAGAGAGTACCTGCGGCAGGTAAGGTCACCAGTCCATGGATCCCTGGCCTGCCGGGCTAGTGCCTTCTCTGCTACCTATAACCTGCGCTCCTGAGTTCTTGATTTCTTAGCAAGTGGGATGCTAGAGCTAGGCAGCAGCTGCACTAGGACCAGTGTTGGCGGGAAGAAAGGAGCCCTGGTCTCCCCGCAGGGCAGGCAGCTAAGCAGTGGTTCCAAGTCTTTAGCTTTGGGCCCTTGGTCTATTCTATGTGGGTTTTTGTTTTGTTTTTTGTTTTGGGTTTTTGGGGGTTTTTTTGTTTTGGTTTATTTTTTTTCTTAAATTTTTGCAATTCTTTTAAGAAATGCAGTCTTTCAAACCAATCCTATTAAACTTTGGGTTTGTTTTTCTTACTGATTTTTTTAAAAACTAAAAAAAATAAAAATAAAAAAGGCAAACTAAGAAAACAAAAAAAGAAAAAAGAATAGAAAAATGGAACAAAAAGAACCATGACTCTTCTCCCCCACCTCGGTGCACAAGAACTCCCCACACACCCCTCTGCCTCTGCCCGCCACCATCCTCCCTCTTCCCTCAGCTGGAAACATCCACGCTGGTGTCTGTGAAATGACGTTTTATCTGTGTCTCAGGATGAAAAGCGGCAATCGTCTTACCAGGTGCTGGGTAGAAGCTGGTCAGCCTTGAGGCCAGTGTGTTTCCTGGGGCCACAGCTCAGGGATGTGTATTTAATTACAGGGTCCCCAGAAACCCACCTCTTGGCTGTCATAAGCAACATCTTTTCTGGGCTCAGGAGCCAGGCCTGGGCTGTTTCCTCAGAGGCAGGAGCCCAGGAGTTTGCTGAGTTTGGGAGCAAGTCGGGGCTGCCTCTCTGGGCAGGCCAGGGCTCCGAGCCATGGTAGCCCTGCCTCTCTACCTACAAGAAGCTGTCTCGGCCCTCCAGGGTATCTCATCCCTAAACAGGCCAGAGCTTGCTCAGGGACCAACTGTAGGCTCGAAAAAAGCCGAGGACAGCCAGAGCTTGCTCCGAGTCCAAGACAAATGTGCTGCTGGTGGAGGCCAGTCCTTCACGCTGTGGAGCCAGCCCTGTGGCCACAGGGTCTGCTTTGCCCTTTGGTGACCATTGCTTTCTTTGCTGAAATGTCTTGTAATAAGTGATGTTGTTGACTCAGATTTCCATGGGGGAAAAAAACTACCTCTTGAGTGACATCCTGGTCGATTCCTCGCTGAGGAATCCTGTGGGAAAAGAATCATGTAGCTCCCGCGCTGTTTACATGTTTCTGTCGGGAAAGAAGCCCCGCCTGCCCTGGGCTGTTGGTGATTTTGTCTGTGTTGCCATCGCAGAGCCGCGATAGGGGCTCTCTGGCCGCATTGTAATGTCTGGGCTGTGTGAGGAGCCCTTCCCACCTGGGGCGAGCCACCACCTCCACGAGGCCTCTGTCCCCTTCCTGTGCTCCAGACATAGCAAGCGCCACTTCCCACAAGTACCAGCCTCGGGCTCCGGTGGCACCTCCACCCACAGGCCTTCATAGGAATCGAGCAAGCAGGATGTCTCTGAGCCCTTGTTCCCAAAGGGCCACCAGCCACCAGCCCTGCATGACTGAGTGACAGTTGGCAGGCTCTGCAGGCTGCTCAGGCCCTCTGCTACCTCCCACACCTGCCTGCTGGCAGGGGTGGGCCCCGTCCTGTGAACTGACTACCTGTGGAATGTGACCAATTAGTGTGAAATGCATGTTTAGCAAGTGTTAGGTACTGTATTTGAACCAATAAATGTGAATCCTGCACATGGTATCTGTGATCTGTCTGTGACATGTGTCTGGGGCCCATGGGCTGGGATGGGGCAGGGTGTTCAGAGGCGGGAATCTTACTCCATCCTTGCCACTGAGGGCCTGGCATAGGGTAATCTGGGCACCGCTAGAACCAGTGGACCAGCACTGACAAGCACCTGCTCTGTGGGCCAGGCACTGAATTGGGACTTTCCACAAACCCAGACATGCTTAAAAGAAATGAAGCCTGCCAGCCAGAAAGTGACACAACTAGAGGGAGTTGCGGGAGGCCTTTGCAGGGCAGTGAGAAGAAGTGATTCGGCATTAAGGGCAGGGAGAGCCTGCTTCCCCAGTATAACAAAGGACTGGCATCACAGGAGTGGTGGAGAACAGGAGGCATTAGCACGAGTAAAAGCTGGGAAAGCAGTTGGGGTCCTTGAGTGCCACATGAAGGAATACAGAAAGCCATCTGCTTGGATCTCAGCTGCATCGGTGGCAGCAGTGCACTGTTGGCTGACCTGCTGTACATGCTCTGGTCTAGATTAACACCTGCCTCTTCAGAAAACACATGAGGTCTCATAATAGCTTTTGTCTTTCCTTCAGACGTGGGGCTTGAACTCGGCCTGGGCACTGTCCCTGAGCTCTTTTGCTCAAGGTTAGTGCTCTACCACTCTGAGCCACAGGACTTCCGGTTTTCTGGTGGGTAATTAAGGCCTCATGGACTTTCCTGCCCAGGCTGGCTTCAAACTGTGATCCTTAGATCTCAGCCTCCTGAGTAGCTAGGATTACAAGCGTGACCCACCACCACCCGGCTTAATAGCTTTTCTAGAGCTAACTAAACAGTGGCCCTTGAGAAGTCAAATACATAGCCAGATTCACACAGGAAGTGTCAGAGTCGGGCCTTGAACTCAGATCTGCCCAGTGCACAAGTAATCCCACACATGCACTCAAAGGAATGGCAGTCTGGCTTCAGGGCTGTATGGAGGCAGTGGGGGAGAGCAGGAGGCTTCTCAGTCCTGGAAGATAAAAGCCAGGGAGACTCCTTTGCCTATTAAATCCTTTTGCATGAAATGAGGAGCACCCAGCTGCCTTCCCGTGACTCTGCCGGCGGCACAAGGGACCAGAGAGCCCTTGAGGCTTGAAAGAGGTGGATGGAAACAAAAGCACAGCAACAGAAGGAGGCAACAGACTTGTCTTCACAGCCCGCAGAGGGATCAGCCACACAGGTGTGGGGAGCGCAAGGGCAGGCATCCGCAACAACCTCACGCGGTGTGGGCCATGGTGAGAGCAAACAGGCTCTGGGAACTCAAGCAATTTGCCTAAGATGGCACAGGCAAATGGCCTATCTGATACCAAAGTTATAACAGCTTCCTCTCTGCCCGGCCTTAGCTGTTCACTCCTGCTGAATGTGAATGTTTGGGAGTTTGTAACAAAGCTAAGCAGTGGCCTGTAGTTGAACCTTCCTTTTTTTTTTTCTTTTTTGCTTTTGTAAAGCAACCCTGGCCCAGCAATAGTGGCCCAGGCCTGTAGTCCTAGCTATTCAGAATGCTGAGAAGATCTGGGGTGTCAAAGTCCATGAGACTTTGTGTGTGATAGAGGGGTGTTTATTGTGGGGCTTGAACTCAGGGCCTGCACACTATCCCTGAACTCTTGCTCAAGGCTAATCCTCTACTACTTTGAGCCACAGTGCCACTTCCTCTGTGAGAATCTTTATCTCCAATGAACTTCCAAAAAGCCAGAAGTGGAGCTGCGGCTCAAATGGTTGAACTCAGGGACAGTGAGCAAAAGAGCTCAGGGACAGTGCATAGGCCATGAGTTCAAAGCCCAGGACTGGCATAGACATATAGAAGCATACGACAACGAAATGGTGGCTCAGTGGTAGAGTGCTTGCCTTGCATGCATGAGGCCCTGGGTTCGATTCCTTAGTACCACATAAACAGAAAAAGGTGGAAGTGGTACTGTGGCTCAAGTGGTAGAGTGCTAGCCTTGAGCTGAGCCCCATGACTAACCAAAAAAAAAAAAAAAGAGATTGTATAAACAGTGGATCAACAGACCCATCTCAGTTGGGCTAAAAAAGCAGTGTCATTCCAAACAGACCCAAATGTATCATATAGACACAAGTCTTACATGGTTTCCCAAAACATTCAGATGGTGGGTGGTAGCCTCATTGAAAAAGCCATGAGAAAAGCAGTCTTTAAGAAACACCGCAGGGCTGGGAAGGCGGCTCAGTGGTAGAGCGCTTGCCTTGCATGCATGAGGCCCTGGGTTCGATTCCTCAGCACCACATAAGAAAAAAGCCGGAAGTGGTGCTGTGGCTCAAGTGGTAGAGCACTAGCCTTGAGCTGAAGAGCTGAGGGACAGCGCCCAGGCCCAGAGTTCAGGCCCCACGACCGGACCCAAAAAACAACAACAACAACAACACTGCAGTGGGCTGGGAAGGTGGCTCAGTGGTAGAGCACTTGCCTTGCATGCTCCAGGCCCTGGGTTTGATTCCTCAGCACTAAATAAGCAAAAAGAAAAAAGCCGGAAGTGGCGCTGTGGCTCAAGTGGTAGAGTGCTAGCCTTGAGCTGAAGAGCTGAGGGACAGCGCTCAAGCCCCACGACCAGACCCCCCCAAAAAAAAAAAACACTGGAGTTTTCCTCCCAGCCTTCTTGAACATATTAGATACTCAGAAACCCCTATCTGAAAACTTTTGTTCAGCCTGGCCAGGCTCTACTGAAGTAGCATTGGGACACTGGGTGATTCTTCCTGTTCATATTCTGCTGGGACATTATTCCAAGTTTACAAATGGTTACTTAAATAACTGACATGCTTTTCGGTTTCCTGGAGTGACAGGCAAACATCTGAAATGAAAGAATAGAGGAAGGCTGGAGGCTGTGGCTCAATGAGTACTTAGGTGAGGATCTGGGTTCAATCCCTAGCAGCAAAATATAATTAGGCCCTGTGGAAACCTAAAGATTAGATTACTAATTCTCCAGAGCCTATAATGATCCCATTTTGCAGTTAAGAAAACCCACAGCCTCTGTATATTGCTTTATAATAATAAGCTGGGCACTGGTGGCTCATACCTAGTTAGTAATCCTAACTACTCAGGAGGCTGGGATCTGAGGATCACAGTTCAAAATTAGCCCAGGCAGGAAAGTTTGTGAGACTCATAACTCCAAGAAACTAGTCAGACAAGGGCTGGGAATGTGGCTTAGTGGTAGAGTACTTGCCTAGCATGCATAAAGCCCTGGATTCGATTCCTCAATACCACATACACAGAAAAAGCCAGAAGTAGTGGTGTGGCTCAAGTGGTAGAGCACTAGCCTTGAGCCAAAAAAGCTCAGGAACAGAGTCCAGGCCCTGAGTTCAAGTCCCTGGACCAGCACACACACACACACCAAAAGAGTATATAATTCGTCTAAGGTTATCAAACAAGAAAGACCTCGGGACTATATATAAACTGGCATTGAGCCTATGATTACAGGATGAGTTCCTCCTTTGCAAAGTCAGAGGTAACCTACTTAAGGCCATGTCTGTAATGGAGAAACAGGGTGCCCAGAAATGATGGACAGAGAGGGTATTTGTGTGCCGCTAGCTACATGGAGCCCTTCCCAGGGATCGTTTCCCACAGGCAGCCTGAGACAGTAGATGTGTCAGCCAGGGGTCTCAAGAGTTCTAAAGTCCAGCCTTTCCCAGTTGTAGTGACCTTGACCCAGATAGATATAGTTCTCTAATTGTCACTTTCCCTGTCCTAAATAGTTGCTCATGGCTCAGGGTTTTAGGGCAGATTGTTGCTAATTCAAAGTTGGAGCCCAATGCGGTTGATGTGGAAGCTGTGTTCTGGAAACTGATGCCCTTCAGGCCTCACCAATAGGGGTCCAGCAGAGCCAGCAGTCACCCCTGGCTCCGCTTGGCCTTGGCCCCATGGTCCACCTGGGTTTTAGGTCCACAACGTTGATCTGTCTGTCAGATTCTGTGGCAAAAGTGCCCAACTGCCAGACCCAGTGCTCTTGGAGTCTTGTTCCCTTGGCAACAAGTCTCACCATGGAGACCACAGCCCCATCCTTGCCCTCCTTGCAAGCTCGCTCTCCAGAAGCCTTCCCTGCTTAACACCCCACACTGTGGGTCTCTGAAGCACCTCCTGCAGGGCGAGGAGCTCCAGGCACCGCAGACAGGAGCCGCGAAGGGAACTTCTGGATTATGCGTGAACACTATACCTGGCAAGGTTCAGAGTTTCCACTGTCTCATTTTGATTGAAAACCAGGCCCCTGCCCTGTTTTCATGTGGGAAACAAAGTCTTAAGGAGACAAGGAAGACCAATTTTTTTTTGTTTTGTTTTTGGTGTCGGTCGTGGGGCTTGAACTCTGGGCCTGGGCTCTGTCCCTGCGCTCTTCAGCTCAAGGCTAGCTCTCTGCCTCTTCAGCCACAGGGCCACTTCTGGTTTTCTGAGTGGTTTATTGGAGATAAGAATTTCACAGACTTTCCTGCCCCAGCTGGCTTTGAACCGAGATTCTCAGATCTCAGCCTCCTGAGTAGCTAGGATGACAGGCGTGAGCCACCTGCGCCCGGCAATGAAGACCAATCTCGTAGTTGTTCAGTGCGGCAGCTGAGGCTTTGAATCCTAGGCTTGTGACTTGGGAGCCCATGTGTTCTCCGCATGTAGCCAGAGGCTTGGATACCTGCATGGCCCCCACCGCCCCAGACCTCTGCTGGCAGCGTGAGCAGCAGTCAGCAGTCCTTTGAGGTCTGGCCTAGACCCAGCAGCAGTGAAGGAACTGCACTATTTTAAGCCAGGACCCAGGGGGGGACCATAATGGGCACAGGGAGAGTGGCCTCCGGCCCTTGGCCAGCTTCCCGGAAGTGGCCCTGGCCTCTCTCCTCTCCCCTCCTCCCAGCAGCTTTCAGAGGCAGTCACTTCCCTACAAACAGGAAGGAGGCCCTCGGGCCAGAACCTCAAGCCCCAGCTCCCACCCCTCCCGTCTTGGGTACATGGGAGCCCAGCGGCTCCTTGCCCCTCAGA